ATTACTGGGGAGCCAAGTAAATATTTGAACCTAGCCTCACTTTTTATAGGCATTATGCTGATGTGGCTCTTTCATTGGTTAGATTACAGCCAATCAAAGAGTAAACAATCAATGCATCACTGTACTCTGATGCAGTTCATTTCTATAGAAGGGGCGTAATCCCATAATATTTACATGTTTAACCATTTTATTCACCATAAGATACACACACAAACACTAAGTATAAGCAAAAAATTAATTTATTTTTGACAACACTACCATCAATAAAACATCATTTTAATTAAACTTTCAATAACCAACTTGACATGAACATTGTATAGACATCCCATTAAAATGATTCTAAAACACAGTACTACTCCTATGTAACAGGTATCACAATAAAAATGTTTTAAGCAAATACAGTGTGTTTCAAAACTATGTACACCTTACTAGCAATATCACATTTTTCTTGACCAATTGTTATTCCACTATGAACTTTGTTTTTGCATGTAGTATTTGTTTTACTAAAAAATAAAAATAACAAAAAACAGTACAAGACTGTCAGTTTAGGATTTTTGTATGTCATATGTAATTTGTGTGGTTCAATATTTTTGAAACATTCTGTACAAAAAAATAAAGCATTTAATACAAGTTATATTAATTTTCTATTGGTTTCAGTTTGAGTGAAACTTTACCTGGTTGAATAAATTGCATAACAAGTGCAACCCTGTTTCAACATATATGTATAAAATACAACAAAAAAAGTTAAATAGAATGTCAAAAAAATGCAACCTTTCTATAAGAACACATCTTTGAAGAATAACAAATATTTATCTTGGATTAAAGAAAATAACAGACATTAAACTTTTGAAGACAATTTGGAACAAGAAAAAAAAAACACAAGGAATAATAACAAAAGAAAAATTAATTCTAATTACTTTGTAAATATGCTATTAACATATCTAAAAGGTAAAAAGATGTTTGACACCTGCACAAGGTAACAGGAAGACCTAACAAATTTTGATAAAGCTTCTACAGAAATGTGTTCTTACATTGCACTCAAGAAAAATTTGACCTGTTTCTAAAAACATTTCAAATATGTTTTACCAACCATCAATATAATCAACAACTAAAAATACTGATAAACAGTTTTTTAAATATCATAAAATGTAAATAACAATTTAACATATTAGAGCACACTAAAAACGACAGCAAGTAGAAAAAATTGTGAATTTCTTTTATCCATGTTTTTCATTTTTTTATAACATTCATTGTCATAGCAAAGGAGTTCAAACAATATGGTCAAATTTTCTGCAAAGAGAGTATTAAAACATCTTCATGATTAGAAGTCTACCACTTAAAAGACAAAATTAGTATTAAAAGCAATTTTAGAATTTAAAACGCCACTCAAAATCATTGAAGGTGAATGAAAGCATAAATTGATGCTGTTTTCAATATTTACAGAGCAAAAAAAAACTTTGCATTCAAATGAAGTCTCTTCACAAAAATAAGTTTAAAACAGAAAGATAGAAAAACTTTAAATGCTTTGCTAATTTGATTATATATATATTACAAGTTACATATATTTTTTAAACCATGGAAAAAGACTTAAGTTTCCAGAATGAAAATGTTGACCTGAAAAGTGTTGGTGAATCAGAATAAAGTGTTTTAAATACTGGAAAAGTGCATTATACAAAAACATGAACAGATAGCTAACAGAGCCAATAATATAAACTAAAACCTACAAATTGCTTTAATTTTTCAATTTGGTAGAGGTAAAATTATTATGTACAAAAATCTTTTGAAGACTATACACCTGTACTTTAAGTATCCCTAAATTTTGATATAAAAAAAATTGAATATTATGGAACATTATCTTAACAATTCAAAAAAATCAACGAGGTTCTAAGAATGCTGTTTTGAAGTTAATATTATTTGTCATGGTTAACATGTTCTGGCATTGAAGAGTATATTTACAAATTTGACTAATAAATATTTCCTATGTACAAGATCATGCATATATCTATGTATGTAATACGATCATTGGATGGTCTTGTAATTCCTCATAAATACTCTGAAATAAGGCAGGACTTCTCAATCAGTATATGTCACTTGATAAACAAAACTAGAAGGCACCAACTCATCACAGAGGCTTCTTTTTCATGTAAAATTGTAGCACTAACGGAGGGTTCTGTAAAAAGAAACAAAAAAAAATACACGTCAGAGTACTGAGAATAATTCAGAATACATCACTTTTAACAAGCCCAACCAATTTCTAAGACAAAGAACAGAAAATAGTATTTCCAATTACACTTTTCTGTTGGTTAGTGCCATGTAAACTTTTTGCTGAATACCACAGATCATCATATATTTCAGTTACAAAACACACTTTTTTAACCCTTTCTGAATAAGAAGGGTGTTACAGATATGTCTTGATTTTTTTTTTTCATTATCTTGTTCAAAATTTTAAAAAATTCGTATGATTTGATTTAGTACTTGTCTCAATTTTAGTTTGGAAAAATTAAAAAATTTTGTTGTGATGCACTGCTATGAAAAAAAACATTAAAAACACTTCATCTTAGAATTTTGATTTACCACAAAATTCCATTTTATACATCCAATCATTTTCAGTTTTATTAATATTCATTAAAATATTTCTTTTCATATTTTATTTTGCTGACTATAGTAACTAAAAATTGTAAAAAACAATGCAAAACAAAGATTTATCAGTGACCTTGGACATGACCTTTAAATATGATACCACCATTACCTTTGTCAAGATAGTTATTATGATTTTTGCTAAACAATGTTCTTGGTTAAGATCAATTTATATTTAATAAATATAATTTATTATCAATAAATAATTGGGTTTTCATTCATGTGTGTTGTTTAAATATGATAAATTTAACATTATTACTTAATAAATATGAACTTGATTTAAGTCATCACAATGTTTTGCTTTTGTTCACCTCAAAACCTAACTAAGTTTACGTAGTGTCTTAATACTAGAAATAAACGACCTTATAACACCAAATTTGTTATTTTTCTTTAACTGAACACTCAACATTCACTTTGCAGCTTTTTCAGGAACATTCCAGTAAAACACAAACAGCAACTTTGGTGTTATAAGGTCATTTATTACTAGTATTAAAATGTCTTTTATACACCAATATGCACTACAGAAACTAAATACTTGATTTCTTGTTATAGAGGGAAATTTCTGTAGCTTTAAAAACATTTTCAGGGATGAAAAGATTATAAAAAAATTATAACAAATCCTATAACACTGACTTGTTCCTAAGTCTTCTTAATGTACCATTACATTTCTTTGTTCACCCCTACATGTGCTTGGACTAGATGTTTTTCCATAAAACCATTAATTACTGCTCAAATCACTTTATTCACTCTACGCTGACACGAATAGTTTATAATCTGCTTTATCCAATCATATTAAAATGTTGCCTTTAACTATTTTCAAAGCTGTATTTCATTAGTAATTTTCCACAACACATGCTATAACATCATATAAAGGATGAAAACAAAGAGCTGTAGTAAATACACCAACAACAGAAAATTAAAATCACTTGACAAACAAGGCATGGAAAATAATTTCTCGAGGGATGATAGATACTTTGGAATGGAAAGAAAAATTTTCAAACTTATAAATGCACTGGGTACAGGTGAGACAATTTGGAGCTATGCAGAAAAAAACCTGACATTTTTCCTTTATGATTTGCACTAAATTAATGTTACAAATTGACAAAATATCTATTCTGCAATAGTTTAGAGTTAAAAAATTTTAGAAACAGAATGAATATCCTTACTTCAATTTTAAAATTTGATATACAGATTTGCATTTAAAACCTAAAAAGTACACACAAGTCATGATAGGAATAACCAATTTTACTTATATCTGTCATTTTGGGAAAGAGATTTTTTCTACATCTGAAATCATTTTTCAAAAGGTTCACCCCCCTCCATGTTTTTCAATTTAAAACGAACTAGGAAAAATCCGATTTTAATGTTATTTGTAAAGCACATAAAAGTTTTTTGCAATTTTTCTAATCTAATGGTATATAATCGTAAAAGTAGTGTCCTATATTGTGAATAATAAAATATTTTCATTACAACCTAATTTCAAAGAAAACATCTCTAAATTATTTTACCTTATCTTTCCATGATGATAACCAAACACGCTTTAAACAATAATGGTCGGACATTACTTTTCCATTACACACAATTTCAACCTATATATAAAACATAGAAAAAGATACTATAATCACAAAGTTAAGGAAAAATTTTTTGGACAATGTTAGCTATCACAGTTAACCATTTTACCGCAGCTAAGAAATATACATCTGAGCAACAGTGAAAGGGTTAACTAAGCCTGTTGCTTTTAAGATTTCTGATTATATATACTGACGTTGTATCTCATTTTTTAATTTTTGAAATTTACCCGTCTTTTGCTGTAAGTGCACACAAATAGAAAACAAAAGATAATTGTTTAAATTTTGGAAAATTCAACTGCTTAAACATTAAGAAGCAATTAAAAAACTAACTCAAGTTTTCTATACAAAAAAAAAACTTTAAGTGATGAGTTTATTTTCAATTTTTCCTTTTGTTTCATATTAATCAAAGTTTAATAAAAGTTTGTATATCCACCAAATTCTTTAACAAACAAGTTATTTATTGTTAACTTACATTTACATAAAGCAAAAATCTGTACTAAATAATAATCTTGTATTTATTCATAATAACTAATAAAAGAAAAACATCTTAATTTAAGCAAAGTGTGCACAAGCATTCAAAAAGTTTTTACTCTTAAAAGAAATAATGGCTACAGCTTCTACAATGGAAACCTTTTGTAAGATTGAATACTTGTATTCTCTTATACTGCAGAGCTTAATACCTCTTTATTCATTGTTTCTGGCCATAATTTTCGAATCAACTTCTTTAAGTGGTAGATCTGGGCCCGTACAGAACAACGAACATACTGTCTTCCATCCCTAATAAAAGGGTCTCTTGTACTGGGGCCATTTCTGGGAAAGCAAAAGTTAATTATCAGTCATTTATTTGGGATACAGAATTTCAACTGATAAATATTCAAAGATAATAGGTTTAGCTTCCCTGAAAAAAATAAATATACATTAACAGTCAATTAACATTTTTTTTTAATTATAAAGTTGTAATCACCTGAATGATCTGAAACCTATTTTTACAAATATGTTGAAGTTCTATTACTGGTTTTGCAATTAATTTTAATGTTCTATCAAAAAAAAAAACACATTATAGAGTATTTTTAGTTAATACTGTGACCATAATCTTACTTCAATGCATGGGCAATGCAGCTGACCTTCTTGATTTGTTGCTGTCTGTGGAATTTAATGCAAAGCTACTCAAGTGCTATCTGTGCTAGCTGTTTGTAATTTTGAAGTAATAGACTAGAGGGAAGACACTAGTCAATACCAATTTGTAGGTTCTTTTAATAAAACAGTGGGATTTGACCATCATTCTTAAAATGTACCCATGGCCCCACAGTGTGGACCACACTATTATATTTACTGCAGTAACATAGCACGAATCAAGGGAAATCAGATCCACCGTTTGGTATGCTAACCATCGAGCTGTGCTCAGTCTAAACCTCTTTAAGCATCTCAAATTGATCAAAAGTATTTGGATGGAAGTTTTCATTATCTTTAAAATACGTCTACATACATAATAGTAAGTATCAACAAGCTTAAGTTCCAATGTTTTGAAAAAAGTGTGAAAATAATGAAATAAGCAATTTGTTTTTTCCTTGTGAATTTTCTTTAAAGTTAAGTAATCATGTGAAACATTTCACAAGTGCTGTTTAAAACTATGATATTTTCTACTAAGTGTTAAAATCATATTATCACTGTACTTAGAAGATTTTAATGATGTTAATGAACTATTGTTTTCGTACATGTAATACATAAAAACTGTACTGTTTATTGTTACGTGCTCTAACTGTATTTCATTTACTTTTGGCTTATGTTTACATTAACCTCTGCTACATGCATCAACTGTAATATGAGATTGTTAAATTTTAAATTTTCCATAATATAACAGTTTGTTTGTTTGTTTTTGAATTTCGCGCAAAGCTACACCAGGGCTATCTGTGCTAGCCGTCCCTAATTTAGTAGTGTAAGACTAGAGGGAAGGCAGCTAGTCATCACCACCCACTGCCAACTCTTGGGCTACTCTTTTACCAATGAATAGTGGGATTGACCGTCACATAATAATGCCCCCACGGCTGAAAGGGGGAGCATGTTTGGCAAGACGGGAATTCGAACCCACGACCCCCAGATTGCGAGTCGAGCGCCCTAACCATCTAGGATGCCGGGCCTCATAACATAACAGATAAGAGGGTTGTGACTAATACACTGCCACTATGTAGCATAATTTTTGAATCATTTTTCAAACATTTATTTATTGTTTCCAAACATCACTAGTGAATGATGTCATGAAACTTTTGCCTATCTTGTATTTCAAGCCTAGAAACACGTAACAGCAAAAAAATTACAATTATGGTTGGCATAATGCTAGACTTAAGTTCCACTTTGTTGTTTTCTGTATAAAATTCTGTAAAACATTTTTGAAATCTTCAAATAACAGAGTATCTCTTTAAAACTACGAGTAAAATTTTAAAACTTGCAGCAATTTTCCAGGTGATTGAATTCTTATATCTAACACAAAGATAAATAATTTTTACTTCCATACTCTTTTAAGCAATCTAATGTTACCCTGGATGTATTACATCAAATAAAATTATCAGTAACCTTAGGAAAGTCTTGAGTTGTCATGATATGTCATACCTTAGTGGTTCTACTTGAACATGAACTAGCTCATCGTGTATATAAAGATGCTGGTTAGACAAACCATCTTCTTTGTTACTATCTTCTTCTTCCTTACAACCTTTGATAACAGAAACAATATTTCATATTATTCTTTTATAGAGATGTATTTATCATCTTCATGATAAACAAGGTTAAGATGGACAGCAACTGCATAGTTCAGAGTGATGTTTGGGAGAAAATCTTGGTGAACTAATCTATAAAATTAACTCAGGTGGAAAGGACAAAGTTTCTTATGTAGATTAGTCCTCCAATACTCTAAGCTAGGCAGTTAATGATCATTTCAACTGTGTTTGTTCATCAAGATTTTATAGGCTCTAAGTTCATAGAGCATATGTGTATGTATATATATATATATATATATATATATAATGCACTTTAATACCATGTGAGACACCATATTTACTAATAAGATTAAAAATATAGGTAGGTACCATGAATACCATCACAAACAAGAATGTTCTTATACACAACTTTCTGGGACCTAATGCTAAAGATAATAATAATAATGATAAAAAAATTATTCAAATTTCAGCAAAAGTCACAAGTCACGTACAAAAATTGAAAAAATGTGTATTTTTCAACTGAAAAACATCATTTAGTACAATTTCAGTTTTCAGAATCATCTAATAGTTAGCAGCTATACAAAATGATAATAATAGGCTTTGATTTTGCCATAGATGAAAAATATACATTTACCAAACAAAGTAACTAACACTTCAAATAAGTCTACAAATAGTAACAAAATATTTTTATCAATGAGTAGTAACAAAATATTTTTATTAACAACTGGTGAGAAAGTATTATTCCTAACACATAAGAATTATGCAATTTAACCAATTATCTATAAGCAGCAACTACATGGATTAGAGGCAGTCAATATTCAATTAGTTGAAATTACTCTTTTCAGCTATTCCAATAATTGACTAATTGAAATTACATTTAATCAACTATCAAGAAAATAAGTAATCAAAATTAAGGTTTCAGATTATTCAAGAAATCTAAATACTGCCAGTATGTTTGTTTGTTGCCCAGCTTTAAGCATGGCCTGATGGGAATCGGAGGATGGGGATGCAGTGCGATTCAAAGATCTTGCTCTCAGTTTCCATTACCACAAAAGTTGACAACTTGACTTTGTTATGGCAAAGCTACTAAAGCTGTCTTCCACTGTCACTAATTTTGAAGGCTACTGGCTGGCAGCACCCACTGCCAATTCTTTGGCTACTGATGTTAAATAAAATTTAAATGTACTACATTGTATTCTATTTAATTGAAAACTGCATAACTGTCTTATTTAATGTTGTATAATCATGCAAAAATCTAAGCAAGTAGAAATATGATTGGATAGAGCAATGATTAGATGTCGTCAAATTAATTTTATTGTTTCTGAAAATGTTCCTTTCATTTATTAATTGCGAAAGTACTTGTGTGTTAAACTACCTATTTGAAAGCTACAGAATTTTTTTTAAATGAGAAGATATCAGAAAACTTGGGATAAGTTAAGCTAATACAGCCCAGAGGCAGGTTGAATGGGTAACAAAGAAAACTTTATTTCAAGTTTAATACAACAATCAATTTACAATGTTTGGAGAAGGTTTTCTCATCATCTGGTATGAGTAGTTTACCTAGACACAGGAATATATATATTTACAGTATGAAACAATGTCATACGACTGGAAATTGCTTTAGACTTAGTATAGGTATCTTAATGTTTGGTTCTTTGTTTAAAATTACAGCTTTTACTTTTTAATAGATATACTATGTTTTTTTTTAAACTGTAATGTTTGTAAACATTAAGGTTTTTTAATTATGTTCACGAAACAAAATCAAATCAGATAGGCTATCAGAATTTAAAAATCTGTTCTTCGCCAGTTGTCAAAATAAAAAGGCTTTTTGTTATATTTCTTAACAGTATAAACATATACTATGTTGTTGTTGGGCTTAGGATTCTACTACAGTAGGTGTCTGTGACTTGTTAGCGATAAATTCAATGATGAATAAACAGTACACACTTCACTTGTTTTAAAAATAATATATTCAGAACAAGTTAACGTAAGTACAATAAATTCTTCAACACTATAGATATTATGGACATATCAAATACTATATATATATATATATATATATATATAC